TTTATTCGTTATTAAGTTATTTCTAATACAAGTTGAAATAATTGAAATGGGACACTTGCTTGACCTGGGACACTTGCTTGTCCTGACTGTGACCGAGAGCCCGCAGGTCACAAAGTCAGTGCACTGACTATTATACAACGAAACAGATATACGATAATGTCTAAACTATCAATTGAGCGTCCGATCACTCCCAATTCAGCTCCTCAATCCAACTCCAATACATTCGGATACTAGCCATCCGGCATCTCAGATTGATCTCCAAAGGCGTATTCCCGTGGAAAAGGCTGATACGAAGCGTTGTGGTGCTCTTTCGAAATCAGTCACTAAAAGAATAACTAGTTATAAGTCTCCGGAAAAGGTCGTAGAGAAAGACTAAGGTGTTTCGAACGAGAGAAGCTAAAATACCGGTGATTGATGTATTGGCATTGCCGCTGAATTATAAAGTGGGATTGGAACTTCGAATCGAGGGGTACCGAGGAAGCCAACATACAACGAGATCAAACAAAGAATTCCCTACTTTCGCTGAGTCGACAGTTGGAAATTGGATTGGAACATCATCAACGCACCAAAAGGGATCTCGAAAGGTCCGCGATTATTGGCTGGGTAACTGAGTGCCTTCAAAAATGAACCCTTTTTCATTCTTCTGCCACTTACGCTCCTCGATATCTCTCGCCATCTCAACCCTGTGAGTCAATTGATGGCCCGCATCTACTTCTCGTTGCTGGTTCCGTTTTCGGTGTCCCGACTTTGCATATTTCCTTTCCTCATTTCCGAGACGCCATTGTTAGTTTAGTTGGGCTGGGCTGGGCTCGGCTTGGCTGGGTGGATTGATATCGGGCGGGATCTATCGTGATGGCGGCGAGGTTTGCGGCGGTACAAGTCTCAGTAGCTGGGCTGGATCGGCTCTATTTCTCCTCCCACCCAAAAGTCGCCCAAGAAAGAAGACGAAACTGTGAGGCCAAAAAGGTGAATGGAACCACCCAACCACGCAGTATCGAGTATAAGTTAACAACACCTCGAAGCAGATCCACTCCTCCAGCTCTAACAATATTCACCTAAAGAAATCTGAAGAGTTGCACGAACGGAAAAGAGTAAAAGGAAAAGGAAAACCACCTAGTATCGAGTAAAAGTTCGAGTTCTCTGTGCTTCTTCCTCTTCTTCCGTGAGGTACATAAGAGACTCGCCTGTTATCAGACTCTGAAATGCTGTCATTTTCGAACATATTATATGCTTTAAACTCGTTCCTCATCCCCATCAGCTCACTTTTTGGAGAGGGCATCTCGCATCTTTCAGTAATATAGCTGGTTTTCTTCGATGAATGGGCCTAGATGTTCATTCACCAACCGATCAATCGGGTACTTTACGAGGACAACCAAAAGAAGTATTGAAATTGCTTACGATGGGTAGACTGGTGAATACCTATCAGCTTGTCTTCCTTCCTTCATCATTCCTTCCTTCGAGCTTTATTAAAGCTCAGCTAGCCATCAGTCAACAATTTCGAATGCCAGGAAACCGCAGTACTCGGTTGCAAGCGAGCTCTGGGACTACTAGCTGCTAGAGTCAAACCAACCATCAACCTTCGAAAATCCGTATGCAGGTACTATCGAGACCTACGAGTGTAGTCCCAATACATATATATATATATACATATATATACATACATTCTAAAGTAACGGAAGATGGAAAAAGTAAAGGTAGTTAGCCCAATCCCCCTAGCCACAACACAACACTCTATTCCAATCCGATATATAAACAAAAAAAGTGAAAATAAACTCCCTGTCAAGAGTCTTCTTATTGCCATAGCATCTACCGCTGTTATCTCTATCTTACTCACAAATATCTCCAACTCCTTCCCACCATTACAACCCTTCCCCCCTTCCTCCCTTCCCCCTCTCCTTCAGACCCACTCAATAAAAAAAAAACACACCCATTTTCCAACCTCTCAACACTCAACCCATTAACTACCACCCCCACCACATCCCACATCACAAAATCTCCAACCCCGTCCTCCAAAATCACACCTTCCAATCTTCCAGTCTTCTTATTACTAAGCGCTCGCTCGTGCTTTTCTTTTCTTTTCTTTTATTATCCCCAGGGAGATCCCATCTCCTCTCTCTTCGATTCCTTTACTTACTTTACTTACTTTACTTACTTTACTTACTTTACTTACTTTACTTACCTAACTTACCTACCTTGCGCGTTTCGTTTTCGTTTCTGCGCGCCATCGACGGGTTTTTGACACCTCTCGCTTATTAGCTGGGGGGTTTTTTTTTTGGCCGGCTTTGGCTTGGCTGCTACAAATCCACTTTTCAGAAACTGGGTGGTATATATGTTTATATATATATATATATATATCTATATATATGTATGTATCAGGATGAGTTTCGTTCGTTCTTTTTTTTTTTAAAAAAAAAAACAAGGAAATAAAAGCTAGAGAATAGAGATTTTCTGGCATGCCGTGGACAATCCTATACGAGAGCGCCTTTCGAGTCATGGCTGTGCTGTAACAGCCTGAGGATGGTGTATGGTGAGGAGAGTCGGAGAACATTTTGCGGCCGAAAAGAAGTCTGACCATGGTATTCAAGGAGTGAGAGGGCTAGAATCATAAACAGGAGGCACAGTTCCATGTTCCTGGAAACAGTTGTGCCAAAGACGTTCATTCCATTGCATATTTTCGTTCATCAGGTCAGTCATCGATTCCTCCACCACCCCACTACGCATCAGTCAACCATCCCGCAGATTTATCCGTGCATGTAGCCCCCCCCACAAGCTCGCTGAGAAAAACAAAACAATTTTTCTTCCACCCAGACCCGTTCATCAATAGTGCAACAGGACCGATCCGCCTTTGAAGTGCGTAACGTTCCTGTCCATAGCAAAATCGCTCAACGCCAAACTGCAAGAAAATCAAACGAGCCCGTCGTAGAGTGACAGCGCGGATACAATCGTCTCGTCGCGCTTGCTGCCCTCCTTGAACTCTTCCATGTCCAGACTGCCGTTCTCGTCCTTGTCCATCATACGGAAGATCTTCTTGACGCGCTTTTCGGGGGTATCTTCGTCGGCGGGGAGCTTCACCATGGATCCGACCTGGAACTCGAATAAGCATGTAATCAAAACAGTCCGGTTAAAAGACATCGTCAGGGAGAGCGAGCGAGCCAGCCAAATGACTTCGGGTCTAGAATGGCTTAAAATTGAAAAAAAAAACAAAAAAAAACGTACCATCTTGTATATCGCCTCAACGATTGCCAGCATTTCATCATAGCTGATCTTTCCATCTCCATCGATATCGTACAGTTGGAACGCCCAGTCAAGCTTGTCCTCCATCTTACCTCGGCTAGTGACGCTCAGCGCACAGATAAACTCCTTGAAGTCGATGGAGCCTGATCTATCGCTGTCGAACACATTAAATACGTAGTCTGCGAATGAAGACGGATCTCCGAAGGGAAAAAACTGGCGGTAGATCTTTTGGAATTCCTCCTTTGTGAGCATGCCGGACGGGCAATCCTTCAAAAAGCCTTGCTTGGGTTAGCGGGATGCCCGGTAGGAGGTAACAGCTTGACCATACCCTTATACCATTGTTGCAACTCCTTCTTGTCGAAATGTGTGGATCGTTGCAGTTCGCTGAGTTGCTCTTGAGAGAGCTTGGATTGACTGTTGGAGATATTAGTCATTGCCGTTGTCCACAGGTGTGCTATCATCCAACGTAGGAGCAGGAGTCCTCACGATTTCCCCATCTTGACTGCTCCTTAACTTCTCTGGTGTAGAGAAGACGTGTGTTGTGAAGTGAGAGTAGCCTCAAGCGCAGCCCAGGGCGCAAGTCGATCGCAGAGCGAATGCAGTTTCCCTATGCCAATGGTATCAGCCCTATTCCTTCTCGGATGTATGCGTAGCCTCGTACGTTTTGTGTGTGGGGCCGACCAGGAATAGTTTCGTAGCACGCAATCGCCTCGTATCTGGTTGTATATCGACTCTGCAGCAATCCGTCAGCTCCATCGCTTGGCTTGCTTGTAATCAGCAGCTCAGAGCACATACCCAGCCAGCGATTGCCCTCCGTCTATTTCTCAACCTCACGCCCGATTTTTGAAGCTTCTTGTGGGAAGGTTGGTTGAGATAGCTGCAATAAGATACCCGGTCAGCTAAAGGCTTTGCACCAAGCATCATTTCTCTAGACCACTGGCACATACATCTCTCTCTTGCCTCCTGCTTGCGATTATTAAGCCCAGGTAATGATGGGGTGCCCACTGCCCAGGTGGTATGGTAGGTCCTCGAGTGGGGTTGGTTGTCGCTACGGTACTTGGTAAATAAAGCAAGCAAGCGAGCAAGCTTCTCTGTGCGGGGAGCTCTTGTTGACGTTGTCCTGTCGTTGCAGAGTGGGCGCCTGGAGGCAGCAGGTTTGAGGATCGTCGAGCCGAGTGGGTTGAGTGGCTGCTACGGATGAAAATGGGAGTCACTGGGCCAGACCGAATACGGCTGTGCTCGAATCCTGGCAAAAGCGGTTCGTGTTCTGTCTCTTTATTGCCTACCTATAACTACCGTGATAACAAAAGGATTTCTGGAAGCTAACATCGGGAAATTTACGTATTCAAAGCGCAAGACCGGTGGATATCTGTCTGGTCACGTGTAGACTCGCCAAGACCCCACGTTCCGAGCATATCCTTCTTCCGCGGCTTCAAGGCCGGAGAGTGATACAGTAGGGGAGAGTGAAACAGTAGGTCAGAGTGATACGGTACTGGAGGTACCTCAGTAGTCACGCCTACTCCGTACAGAGTAGAGTTTGGCGGGGGATGATCGATGCAGGTCCCGAATCGTTTGTCTTAGCAAAGCTTGCTTCTTGCAGAGTATAAGTAGTGGATGCTGGGCCAATACCGGTACATCCGCATGGCATTCATGTTCGAGCCTCGAGCCTCGAGCCTCGAGCTCGACGAGGGAATTGAAAGTATATGCAGGGAAATGCCCAAAGCTAGATGTGCCATGGTGAATGAGATCCTACCTGTTCTGTAGCAGCACTGATAGCACCGAGCGGTTAGGTTACTTGTTTGTGATCCGGTACCTGGAGAGAATTGATCCGAGAAATCCGCATTGATAGGGTATTTTGCTCTGCGGTGCTCAGTTGGACGATCAGAATATTCGGGAAGCAATCTTGACGTACGTCTGACCGATTTTTACGACTTGCAGAGAGACATACGAAGAAGAAAACAGTGAGGACTTCGAGCCGTATCGAATGCCAATGTGGTTGATGGTTTATACATATTATATATACTACGCTTTGCATAACAACCCGTTTCGCTAGCTACCCTCTTGCACTCCGTAGAGCAACTACGCGTCAGATATTGCAGCTCACTTTAACCTCCTGTTCGAACTTGATAATGCCGTGCATCGTGAATGGAGCGATATTGACATTCACTCGTGGACAGGTGAATACGCGTTGACTTCGAGATCACGTGACTACGCTAAGTGCTCCGGCGCTGCTTATCACGTCTCCTCTGGACCGTGGCGACAGCCTCACAAACAACCTCATCAACAACGCCAACATGAACAATTTACTCGACAATCGCTTTGAAAAGGTGGAGAAGGCTCTTGCGACCTTGATCAATTCCATCGCAACTTACAACCCGTCCACAAGCAATGCCAGCGATCTCGTTGCAGCGGATGCCGAGCTCAACGATGGCCTCGAGCAATGTGAGCTCCCTCCCCCTTCACCTGTATTTCTGCTCACTTGTATACCAGTATCAACACACCAGGCAAACTATGCAAAGATAATAGCCCTCCGCGAAACCTCCAATGCCCTTGATGCCGAGATCCGCGACACGCTCACACTCTTATCCACTACCCGCCGAGACCTCATTGCGACGCCAGCAACCAGTTTCCCACCCAACGCGAACCCGATATCATACTCCGAACTATTGAGCTATGCACGCCGAATAAGCAGGTTCACCTTACCACCTACATACAGAGATCCTCAAGCTTCTGCAGCAGAGACTGGAGACGCAGCGACGAATACCTCCGGGGAGCCCAACCAGCAAATACAAACAAATGGTATCAACACCCCCGTCGTGGCTACCAACGGAGAATTGCACAATACTGCAGCTACGGATTTGGACAAGGCATCGCCAGCGGCTGCCGCGCAAATGCAACCACAACCATCCCAGCATGAGGGAGTGAGGACGAACCTTTCAATTTGGGAACAGTACCTCAACCCGTCCGCAGAAATGCCTTTCTTCCCGTGGCCATCCGAGGAGTCAATCAGAAAGGGTGCGCTTGCCAGTTTACAAGTTCTGGTGGACCAAGGTATCGACCCGGCCACGTTTGACCCCGAGAAGAGTGCAGAATTGGAAGCGGAGCGCAAGAGGATCATGGAAGAAGAGGATGCAGCAAGAGAGCAGGAACGGATCAAGGAAGAAGAAGCCAGAAGGAGAGAGATGGAGCGAAGGATGAGCGCCGGTGGGCCTGCGCCGGAGAGGAGAGAAGAGAAGACGGAGGCTTTCCAATTCTCGCTGATGGATGATAGCGATTGAGATGTAGTCTGTTTGGGATACCTCAGAGATATTGGTCAGGACAAGCAGGACCTGCAAATTCCTGAATATCAATGCAATGATCATCGCGCTTTCCATCAACAAGAAAGCATGGATCTATATCTCAAAGCAATAACACGATGATCAATAGTTTACCACAGCTTGCGTCATTTCTACCAATCCTAGTCCGCGTGATTAATAAAATTTCGGTGCTTCTTTTGGGATACCATCGCCAAAGCCATAGTTCCAAAGCCATACAATACAGACTCTTTGGCTTAGAGTTAAACTCAGCTACAGTACATGTCTACACATACAGTACCTCCCATCCAGCAGCAGCAAGTTTTCTCCACAACGCCCGCCCGTGAGCGTTGCGCAAGCTAGCCTATGGCATGAGATATGTGTATGTATGTAATGTGGAACTATGATGGAATTGAGCATTCGATAGGTATGTTTTTCGAGTAAAGATCGGTGTCTATAAGCACAAGTAACAGAATCCAGCCGGTTTACACACTCTTGATCTTGACCTTGCTTGCTTGCTTGCCTTCTTGAGCGCAAAGAAGCTGGACATTTCCATATCTACGGAGTCAGTACTCGAATCTGGCTGCTGCAGATCCACCGCTTTCGGTCTCGGGATTTGATCAAGTCACGTCAACTGCTTTGCTCGCCTTATTCCTCGCCTTGCTTTTTTCTACAGCTGGCCACCCACGTTCTTCTTTGTGATCTTGTACTTTACACGCGACGCTTGATGATTTTTCACGGACGAAAGGTGAAAGATAGGTCGTCTGTTTTTCCTTTTCTTGGTTTTGTTATCGTCGTTGATCTGTATGAATGAATGCCCAATGAGCCTGACTAAGGAAAGGAAAGAGAGAGCTTTAGTGCCAGTGGTTGATTTGGCTTTGGGCTTTTGGGGTTTCTAATTCGATGACTTTCTGGCCATGATTGTTTGGAAGAGAGGGCTTGGAAACTGACTGGGTCACGGAGATATGTGCATGTAAAAGAGATATATGTGCAAGTTGACTTGCTAGCTGTTCAGTTTTCTCGCTAGGACAATAAGTGAATATGTATGTTCCTGGGGGCCGCGAAGGGAACACCAAAGCGGTAACCCGGATCGTCACGGCATTTGAAGGGCGCTTCTTGCTCAAGCCGAGAGTGTTACTGGTGCGCTTGGATAGAAGCATCGATTAGTTCGACTTATGGTTGATCGTCCCGAGGATGTCCAACTCGGGCACGGGAAGTTGACAAGAATGTTTCGCGGACTTCTTCCGATCCAAGACGGACGTGCCCATCATGAGCCTACCGGTAACAGTCTGGGGTGCGGAGAAGGGGAAAAAAAGCGGTTCTAGCCTTTGACGAAAGAGGCGTTCCGTCTTACGAATAATCTGGGGAAGGGAAATCTTTCAAAAGGGTGATCGGTCCTCGCTCGCCCTATCCCTTCCGTGGACAAATACTCATGTACCAGACCTCTCGCTGTTACGGATGACTTCGGATGACTTCGCTATGCACCAAATCAACAGATGGAATGTGGCACACTCGCTCCAGGAGCGGAAGCTTCTCATCGCCATCAACTGCATTGCAGGTCTCTCCATCTTCTTCTTCGGCTACGACCAGGGCATGATGGGCGGCGTCAACAACGCCAAAGACTACATTGAGTTGATGGGATTCGGTCACGCCGAGACGGTTGATGGGTCGCCCAACACGCCCGTCATCACCGACAGTCTGCTCCAAGGCGGGATTGTATCGGTGTACTACCTTGGAACTTTGTTTGGGGCTCTCGCGGGCGGCTGGGTTGGTGAGAAGATCGGTCGGATAAAGACGATTGCCCTCGGTGCAGCGTGGGGCATCTTTGGCGCCGGCCTGCAGTGCTCGGCTCAGAATCATATCTGGATGATATTCGGTATGTCAGATCTCACGCACGCTGTTTGGTCTCGAGAACCTTTTGGGAGTGGGTTTTCTGATCGGATCCATGTAGCTCGACTTATCAACGGTTTCGGGACCGGAATCCTGAACGCAATTGTGCCGGTTTGGGCGACCGAGAGCGTACCGCACACCAGTAGAGGCCAATTCATCGCCATTGAGTTCACGCTCAACATCTTCGGCGTAGTTGTCGCTTACTGGCTCGAATTGTAAGATCTCGCTCCAGAATCCTCAGGAGATTTCTTTTGCTGAACCCCATGCACAAGTGGTCTCTCGTTCATCGACGGCGGAGCCTCGCCGATCCGGTGGAGATTTTCCATCGCTTTCCAGATCATCCCACTGCTCATCCTCCTGGCAGCCGTGTGGTGGTTTCCCGAGTCGCCGCGGTGGCTGGTCAAGGTTGGCCGCGAAGACGAGGCCCGTTTCGTGCTCGGGAGACTTCGAGGTGACGAAGGCGAGGATGAGATCCAGGCGGAGGCTGAGTTCCAAGATATCTGCAACGTTTCCGAATTGGAGAAGCAGGCAGGTAATCGAACTTCCTACTGGGCCATGTTTACAGGACGGGGCTCTGGAGACTTACATACCGGCCGCAGGGTGCAGCTTGTCATCTGGCTCCAGATCATGCAGGAGTGGGTAGGGATTGCAGGTGTCACTGTTTGTAAGACTTTTTTCCCTTCGGATCTTTTCCTTGGAATTGCAATCTTCTGACAATTTGAAGATGCGCCGACCATCTTTAGAATGGCTGGTTTCAACACCGAGAAGTCGCAGTGGATCTCGGGAGTAAATAATATCACTTATATGGTACGTTCGTGCCTCCCTCCTCACTTTTTTTCCCCCTTCGCTAACCGAGATCCACAAGTTCTCAACCCTGATCTGCGTGTTCACACTTGATCGTATCGGTCGCAGATGGACCATGTACTGGGGATCCGTTGGGCAAGGGATTGCAATGTTCCTTGCTGGTGGCCTGTCCCGCGTCGCAATCAACGCCACCGAGTCCGGGGATACAGCACGCGCCGCGTCCTATGGAGCTGCTGGCGCATCGATGATCTTCATCTTCACTTTCGTCTTCGGCGCCACCTGGTTGACGGTGCCCTGGCTCTACCCGGCCGAAATCTTCCCCCTCGAGGTTCGAGCCAAGGGAAACGCATGGGGGGTTGTTGGCTGGAGCATCGGGAACGGTTGGTTGGTATGCTATGCTATCCTTTTGAGCCCCTCGAACATTTTCATAGCCTCACGCAGTTGACTGATTCACAGACCCTTCTCTGCCCGGTTATGTTCAGCGCCATTAACGAGAAGACGCTCTACATATTCGGTATCAGCAATGTGATCACCATCCCCATGGTCTGGGCCTTGTACCCAGAGTCCAACCAGCGCACGCTGGAGGAGATGGACTTCTTGTTTGCAGCCGAGACTCCCTGGGTTTGGGACGCCGAAAAGAGCTTTGCAAGATTGAAGGTGGAGCACCCCGAGCTGGCAAATGCTGCTCACTCGGGGAAGATCATCACCCATGATATTGAAACTGGGAACGCTGGTGGAGGTGAGTCTCCGCCCTCGGAGCGGACAGAGAATGTATCGATGCCTGCGGTTCCGAAGTGAGTAGGAAGCTTGTCTAGAACTGACTGAAGAGGAACAATGGGATTATATCTCTTAAATTTGTCCCCTGGGTAATCCTCAGAGAAGATAAAAGCTCGATTCATCATATCATAGACCACAAACATGGGAATTAAGATAAGCCTATCCTTTAAACCATACAGTACTGGGTTTAGAACCCACTATCGACATTGCCCCAACAGCATCCTCCGCTCCCCTATCACTGCCATTCCCGGCGGACCTTAGATCTCTGTAAGCAACGGCGACATGTTCGCCATCATATTTCAGTAGCGCATACACGAGGTATACCTTCGGCTTTGAATTCGCGAAGGTGACCAACTTTCCCGTGTCCATATTCCACTCGCTTCTCTAGCTCTGCGATTCAACCCTCTTCCTCTGTCTGTCTTTGGCCCGCTGATGGCAGTGCCATCGCGGGACGAGGCCTCGCTGTGAAAGCTGTGGCGTCGAATGTTGAACTCCAGACAGTGTTGACTCTCGCTTAAGTCCCGGATGATCTTTCGGGATAGCCAAGGCGATGGGATCCACAGGCCGAGAGCCTCACCTAAATATACTCTGTAACTGGCATGCGTTGGCCGAGTAAATAAGTAAAAGCGACGTTACAAGCCCGACTCGCGAGGAAAATCCAAGGGTTACAAAAGAACTCTTTTCAGTTCGTGGCCGCATATCCCACATGTGAGCCCCAGGGATGGACGCAGCACTGGAACGCATGAACGGTGCCTGGGCCAGCCAAGCCGCTTTTCTGCGGTTCCATCAGCCACAACTATTCGTATCGATACGACACAACACGACACAACACAACACACACCTCCCTTCCCATCATCCAACATATAATCAATGCAAATCCCCCATCGGATGCAAAAAAGAGGAAGCCCATTATTCTTTCAGGGCACGAGTTATATCACAACTTTCCCACACGCATCGCCGCTCAATCGCCGCCGCCCACCATGTCTCTCAAAACCAAGATCGTCCAGCCGGGCATGTTCAAGTCGGGCCCATTCAGTCTGCCTATCCCCGACCATCCCGTGATAGAAGGCGAGACTATCCCGCGCCGCAACGCAAATTACATCGACCGGCTGATCTCCCGACCCGACGAGTCCACGGCGACGCTGTACGACGTGCTCCTGCGCTCCTCCACCAAATTCGGCGAGCTGGACGCGATGGGCTCGCGGAAACTCCTCAAGACGCACGTGGAGACGAAGATGGTCACTCAGCTCATCGACGGCGAAGAGAGGCAGGTCGAGAAGACCTGGACCTTCTTCGAGCTGGGAGGCTACGAGTATGAGACGTTCGGCGGCTATTTTGAGCGCGCGTGTCAGATTGGCGCAGGGTATCGCAAGGTTTTAGGCTCGGGCCCGGGGTTAAGGGTGCACATTTTTGCGGCAACGAGGTATGTATGCAATGGCCTGCCTGTTCTACCTAGTCCCACCCAGCGTTGTTTGGTCTGAAAGACGAAGAGAACTGACGCCTGCAAATAGTGCAAATTGGCTGGCGGCCGCTCATGGTATGTTTACTTTCCCTCCCTTCGGAACTAATTTAGTTGGGGGGGCCTCGCTTATTTCTCACCCTTGCTCGTAGGCGCCGTCACGCAGTCGATGCCGATTGTTACGTCGTACGCGACCCTCGGCGAAGAAGGGCTCGAGATGTCTCTCGTCCAGAGCCATGCCAAACTCATCTTCGTCGACCCGGAATTACTGACCAAGTTGATCAAGCCGTTGAAGAAAGCGACGGAGCTGGAGTGGGTCGTCTACAACGACCAGCTGGAGGTGAAAGAGGAGGATATCAGCGCGCTGAAGAATGCGCATCCGGGGATCACTATTATGCCGCTGGAGAAATTGAGAGCTTTGGGCCAGGAGAACCCAGTAGAAGCTGTGCCGCCGAAGCCGGAGGATCTCTGTTGCTTGATGTACACGTCGGGGACGACGGGTGCGCCGAAGGGTGTTCCGTTGACGCATCAGAATATAATCGCTTCAAGTAAGAAATCTCACTGTTATTCCTGTCACCGATTTTGCTCACCGAAATTTAGTTGCCGGTCTCGAGTCCATGTTTACGGAGTACGTCGGTCCCGCCGACTCGGTACTAGCCTACCTCCCGCTCGCCCACAGTTTCGAGTTCGCCTTCGAGAACGCATGTCTCTACTGGGGCGTGAAAATGGGATACGGCAACCCGAAGACGCTTTCCAGCCTCTCGGTGAAGAACTGCCAAGGCGACATCAAGGAATTCCGTCCCACGATCCTGGTCGGTGTGCCTGCCGTCTGGGAAACCATCCGCAAAGGCATCGAGAACCGCGTGGCAGGAATGAGTGCTCTGCAGAGTCGGGTCTTCTGGGGGGCTCTGACGGCCAAGGCGTGGTGTTGCGAGAAGGGGCTCATGGTGCCTGCCGGCTGGTTTGACTCGTTAGTCTTCAACAAGATCAAGATGGAGACGGGTGGTAGGCTGCGGGCATGCTTCAATGGTGCTGGGCCGCTGGGCAAGGAGACGAGAAGGTTCATCTCTTACGCTTTGGTGCCCTTGATCAGTGGCTATGGTCTGACAGAGACATGCGCGTAAGTGACCGAACTACCTACCCTTCACACTGAGCTTTGAGCTGATGGGGGAAACAAACAGTATGGGAGCCCTCCAAGACCCGCTCGAATGGACAGATGATACACTAGGTGATATTCCCGGCAGTATCGAGATCAAACTCGTCGATTTCCCCGACGCTGGCTATTTCTCCACCAGCGATCCTCCTCAGGGCGAGATCTTGATCCGTGGCGACTCGGTCATGGCGGGGTACTACGAGAACGAAGAAGAGACAGCGGAGGCAATGGCACCCGGCGGCTGGTTCAGGACAGGCGATATCGGAGAATGGGCCCCGAATGGGCATCTGAAGATCATTGATCGCAAGAAGAACTTGGTAAAGACCCTCAACGGGGAGTATATTGCGCTTGAAAAGGTACGTTACGCGTGTGGTAGGGTGGCTCACCGGGCTTGTGCTAATAGATGGATGCAGTTGGAATCAACCTACCGGTCGTCAGGGATCGTACTGAATCTGTGTGTGTACGCGGCTGCTGATCGCAGCAAGCCCATCGCGGTCGTCATCCCGGCACCGGTCGCACTGCAACGAGTAGCTGAAGAGAATGGCATCGAGGGCAAGACTTATGAACAACTCGTTCACGACGACAGGATCAAGAAACTTGTGCTGAAGGAGCTGCAAGCGACGGGGAAGAAAGCGGGACTGGCCGGTTTCGAGATCCTAGATGGTATCGTCTTGACCGATGCCGAGTGGACGCCTCTAAATGTGAGTTCGAGAGTTGAGCGATTGGTTTGGTTGGAGTTAGCAGCACTAACAAACACCCTTCGCTAGGGATTCCTGACCGCGGCGCAAAAGTTGAGCAGGAGGAAGATTGTGGCGGCGTATGAAAAGCAGATTGATATTGCTTATGGAAGGAATACGTCTCGTTCGTGATTCTGAGCTAAGGTAAGTGTACGAAAATGGGCGTGTATATGGGTCACAGCGTATTCGTGGATGAATACACATCAACCAGAAATTCCATCGAAATTCACATCATACCTCTCATTCAGAAATGACTAGCTCACCTGGTCATCAATTCTTTTCTTTCGTAGGGCTCGTCTGATAACTGGGCATAACATCAATCTAAGGCCTGGTCTTGTGATGATCGATCTCTTCTCACGGTATCAGTCCATTCCTGTATAACTGTGGTGACAATCACTCGCTCTTACCAATAGTCGAGAAGACCTCCGACAATCTCTTTCTCGTGTACTAAAACCGAGTCAGATCCGAGACCAAATATATATATATATATTCTCCATCGAGATTCGAAACTCCACAATACGGAGACTGCTTCATTATGTATTAGGTAGATCCGATGCACGGTACCCGTGCGGCTGTAATAACGTATATTAAGCCTTTGGCTCGGCGATAACCCTGTCTTTTCTTCCTTGACTCGGTACGTAGTAAGTACCGCGGCGGTATGTAACAAACCCGCTTTTGATCTGGACGTTGGATCGTGAAACGACTACATCTGGCTGTTTGTTGTCTATTGGTACCTGTTGCGAATCAGGGATCTATCTGGCTATTATGATGGGATCTTACGTGGCGCGCCTCTCTGTTCATTCGCGGGATATTGCTTTCGATATAGTGCGATATATATATATTCGTCTCTCGATGAATGGTATGTACTTTTTGTTTTTTGTTTTCTTTTTCTTCCTAAAAGGGCGCCAGGCCTATGGTCTAGAAACGGGTAAGATATATACAAGCGAATGACAAGAAGAAGAAGAAGAAGAAGAGAAGAAGAAGAAGAACGATGGAGAGATAGACGTCCCTTTCCAAACCTTTGACGCGGACCATGACGCACTCACTGGCCCGGCATCCCCCTCCTCAAATTCTCGAACCTACTCATCGGATACGCCAAGCGGTTCCGGCTCCCCTCCAAGGCGCCCACGCCCCCAAAGCTCTCCACCGTCGTCCGCACCAAACTCTCCGGCCCCTTCCTATCCATGCTCACCTCCCACCACATCATCCCCCCCAGACCCTTCTCGATCACATACTCCGCCTTGACGCGCGCGACAGTCGGCGTGTCGAAGCTCAGCATGTACCTCCGGCCAGCGTCGTAGCTGTACGCGGCGCCGACCTCCCGCATGTTAGTGACCGTAGCGTTGGATCCTGCGAGCGGGAGGTGCTTGGTGTCGAAGATGCCGGCCTCGCCGAAGGAGCTTGCGGCTCCGGTGCCGTTGAAGGGGGTCCCTGGGCCGGCGGTGTTGGCGAAAGCGCGGGCGTAGAGTGGGGAGCCGAGGTTGATCTTGTGGGGGGTTGCGCCGTTGGCAATGTCTGTTTTTTTTTTTTGAGTCGCGGTTAGTCGGTCGGTCGGTCTACTTGTTTTCTGGTCTAGGTCCAGATCCAGATCTGGATCCTGAAGTTTCCAGGATGCACTCTGGACAAATCACCGGGAGGTGCACTAGAGGGAGAAGGGATCTATGTCTTTGGAAAATAGACTTACAGTAGTCGATGGCGGAGGTGGTGTTGAAGGGGGTGGCGGCCTTGTTGCTCTCGTCTTCGTAGACGTTGGACATGTGCCCGGAGATCTTGTCCCAGGCACCGGCGTAGTCGAATCCCATGTAGTTCCAGAAATCGAGATACTGGTCCATGCCTTTGAAGTCCAGCAATTTGTACTGTGGGGGAGAAAAGCGGAAAACGTCAGCAAACGATCCTTTTTTTTTTTCCCTTCTTTTTTGGGGAGGGGGGGAGGAACCCAAGGGCAAATGAGATGGAACACTACCGACCTTATTGGGCCCGGCTGGAGATGCGTAGGTGAGAAGGAAAGGAGAAGCATCGGACGTGGTGTTGGTCGGAATAGCGTCCATGGCGGCGCGAAGGTCGCCGAGGAGCGTAACCATATCGACCGCCTCCGTGGCGTTGGCCACATATTCGTAGTCCATATCCAGGCCGTCGAAGCCGAGGTCTGTCATCAGCTTGATGGAGCTGGTGACGAATTTGGCGCGTAGCTTCGGCGAGCGGAGCACGGGGGACATGTTGACCGAATATGTGGCTCCCGCAATGGCGAGAAGAGTCTTGAGAGAGCGGTTCTTCTTCTTGAGGAGGTAGAGCTGCTTCAGACTCCCAAAGAGATCGGTACTGTTGCTAGCGACATCCCCGTCGTAGGTCTTTTGGATATCGGCCCATTCGTCGCTGAGGTATCTGTGTGGTGATGTTAGCGGCCTGTATAGAAAGTCACAGGGCTATAGGGCTTGACGAACAGTTCACCAGTTGTGCTATTGACGTTTGCGAAAGAGTAGACGACTGTACCACACACCAAGGAGTCAGTAATTGCCTGATCAGGAGAAATTCTCCGAGCAAGATAGCCGCCACTCCCCCCCCCCCCCTCTACGTACTGTGTGTAAATTGAGTAGGATCAATATCTGTGATAAAGAAGTTACGCGCGTAAATGTCCTACCTCGTGTCAACAACTAGACTTTTCGAGGTGTCGAAGAGGCGCACCCAGTTTCCAAAATAGCCGACTGCTCTCATACCATCACTCGGCTTTGGGGAAGTCTTGTAATGTTCTCTGTAGTTGCCGCGACGGTGGATGTTGCGGTGGGCATTTCTCTGGTATGGGCCGTGTGATACTACTGATGGGCTCGCAAATGCTCCTGCGCAAAGAGAAAGAAGTGAGAAAAGGGTTGAGCAATGCATTGTGACGATTGCTAGGCCTTGATGATACAAATACACCAAACAAGAAGATAAGAGAGAATTGGACCCGTTGTGAAGCGGGTTAAACAAAACGCAGGGCCATCGCCTCAGTATATATCGCCGCGTAAGAAAGGATTTGTGGCTATACTCCGTAGAGTTCAAGTCCACATCGGACGTAGACGTAATGCCAGCCAAGAAAGGTCCGAAGTTGATAGAGAACGTTTCAATAGGACGACTTATCTCCACGTTCTGCACGACTTTAGGTGGAAATCCTGGGCATGAAAATTATGCACGCTCAGTGATGAGACGATCTGAGTATCCCAGTGATTGCTGACTCGGCGAAATGTCATACTAGAATATCGGGGGCTATTGCCCACAAACCAGGAGTCCTGGTTCCGCCTCCAATGAGCGACTCCATCACAGTAGAAATTGCAATATTTCTGGCAAAAGAGATATAAGAATTTGAAGATGTATCTGTTGAGCGAGGTGAGATTGTTGATAGGTAAACAGTCGACGGACAGGGGCAGCGATTAGCGAGAAAGTCAAGATAGACTTTTAGTCTTGAAACGATGGCCTCTTGGCTTCCAGCCGAAGTCTTGATCTCGAAGTGCCGCGCTTAGACAGAAGAGAGTTTGCCTGCTACGTACAGTACTACGTATTTCCCGAGAGCCAATTGTCCAAAAGGCACATCATTTTCTTAAGTAGGAGGCTTGCTTAGCGCTTTGACTGGCTTATATCGGATGCCCAGAGGAAGTGCGCGCGGCTGTGTGCCAAAGCATCGACGGGGAGATTCGGGAGCTTGAAGAGATGAAAAGCCGCTGACTATAGCCAATCAGCTAAGTTGAAGTATCCAAGATATTTCATTACTGTTATTCGCTACAGCCAAGATAAGGCGCCACCTACTATGGTCTTTTGACGAAAGCCCTTCTTGGATAAGAAGCGTCCAGACTCAAGTGGCGTCAACCAAGAGCCCGTTGGATCTCATCCGTCACGGGCGAGGAATACGAGGGAGATCAAGCGCCAGCAGAATATTGGAGCCGCAATCTGAGAAGCAGAGTCATGTTCAATTCCGCCATCACAAGTCTGGGTAGGAATCCGGAGTTTGCGAATGCGAAATGCATGGTAGAGGTTGGCCCGCACTCTGCTCTGGCCGGCCCATTGAAGCAGATTTGGAAAGCCAACAAATTCTCTGGACTCACGTACATTCCAACTTGGTTACGAAATACCGATAGCAGTCAGACACTCGTTGAGACTGGCGGAAACCTCTGGGTTCAGAATTACTCGGTCAATTTGGAGGCAGTCAATGCGCCTGTGGAAAGTGTTCCACGAGTTCGAGGCATGCAAAAAGGATTCTCACCCCTGATACTGGTGGATTTGCCCCCATATCGGTAGAATTACTCCAAGGTTTTCCAAACCGAGCTGCGCTTTAGCCACGAGCAGCGTCAGATCAAATACGGCCGTCACGACATTCTGGGCCGTCTCCAGGCTACCTTGGTCGATGGCGAGCTGGTCTTTTCTCCCGACTTCCTTGAGCAGCAGGATTTAGCAGCCGGTGATGTTGAAGTTCAGGTCAAGGCTGCCGAGTTCGAATTGCCACAGGAAGGATTCCCCCGGGCAGTTACGGGTCACGTTTTGAAGGTAGGTCCAGGAGTATCGTCCACCCTGGTGGGCCAGGAAATCATTACCTATGCTGCCGGCTCATACTCCACCATCATCCACATTCCAAACTCTCTCGTGGTACCTGTCGGTAGCAGTGCTGCGGAGGACTTGGTTGCCAGCCTGCCTGCCATCTCCAAGGTCTGGAATTCCATGGTCACTAGTGCCAAAGCGACATCCGGAGACTTCTTGCTACTACTTCCAACCTCTTTGGCCACGACTTCACTCGTGGCAGCATTTGCCCAGAATATAGGCATCAAGATTGCAGTTGTTGTTGAAACCAAGCAGCAAAGAGATGCATTAGCATCACAAAAGGCAGCATTCGAAGGTCTGCTATTAGCATCCGAGCGAGACGCTATCCTCGACCTCCTGTCATCTTCCCGTAGTGAAAGTAAACCCAATCTGGTTCTTGCGTATGAATTCTCCGAGTTGAGTCAAGACGTCTAGCGAGTGATGCCGGCACAGGGACGATTTATTCTCAATGACACTTCTATTGATGTTGCCCCCGATTTTCTCCCCTTTGCGAGGGGGTTTCCTTTACTAGCACTGGCATTGAATCTCTGTTCAAGCAGAATCCAGAAACACTTGGAAAGGTCTTCACCTCTTCAGTGAACATCCTAAGCCAATTCTCGGACGTCCTTTTGAAGACGGCCTCGAAAATCGCCGTTGGTTCCTAAGAGAATTCAACGAAAATCGCCCAGGCCAAATCAATCGAGAACGCTGTGATCACTTACAGCCATGAGACTGATACCATCAAGGTATGTAATTGTGGTCTTTTGTTAGTAACAGGCATCATTAGTTAACAGCGGTGTACAGGCTCATCAATCGACCAGTGCCGTACTCCGTTTGGATGCCAAAGCTACATATCTCATGGTTGGATGCTTGGGAGGATTGGGTCGCAGTCTCACCACCCGGATGATGGAACGAGGAGCCACCAGCTTCGCCTTCATCTCCCGGTCTGGAGCAGACAAGCCCGAAGCAGCACAGTCATTGAAAACATCAAGAAGGCAGGCTTTGATGCCCAGGTCTTCCGAGCCGATGCTTCGGAAACAGCAGAGGTGATCAAGGTGATCAAGGCTGTGAGCGAGAAGCGCCCAATTCGAGGTGTGGTGCACGCAGCCATGGTTTACAAGTAAGTCAACTTTCATTAACATATCATCGATATCACCATCATCTAACAATAATAGGATACCCTGTTTGAATGGATGACATATTCCAAGTTCATGGCCACCGTGGCCCCCAAGGTCAGAGGAGCTGAGAGCCTCCACACAGCCCTGGCAGAGACGCAGCTGGACTTCTTCGTCATGACCAGCTCCATCTCGGCGAATCTTGGAAACCCTGGCCAGACCAACTATTGTGCCGCCAACAGCTTCTCGACAACTTCGCCTGGCTGCGTAATCTCAACGGGCTTCCTGCCGTCTCCCTGGTGCTACCGATGATCCTCGACGTTGGAGTCGTCGCCGAGAATGGGGATATCGAGACATCGCTGGCACGCAAGGCCATGTATGGTATTGACGAGCGTGAGATGCTCCGTGGCTTCGAAGTAGCCATGCTTCAGCCCACCCCGACGCCCGCCACCGCGATCAGCGGCCGTGCACAAATCATTCTCGGTCTGGAGCCAGCATATCTCGCGGCGGCTCTGAGCACCGACGATGCTGCTGATGCGTAATGGTTAAGTGATGCTCAACTTGCCCTGCTCTGCACGACCGTAAAGGCTATCCAAGGTTCTGGTCCCGGTCGAAAGACTGACGGCAACTTCGCAAGTCAGTTGAAGTCGGCGCTGGCCGAGGGCCCAGACGCCGCTATCCAGGCCATTGCAATGCATATCGTGCAACGGTGCCCTCGCATTCTCATGATCGCCGTCGAGGATTCCTCCGTCGGCGGACAGGCCGATGCGAATTATGGGCTGGACAGTATGATCGGTGCCGAGTTACGAAATTGGTTATTCAAGGAGTCCGAGCTGGATATTTCGTTCCAGCATCTCCTCGCGCCAACGGTGACATTCAAGAAGCTCGCCACATTGTCGCTGGGTAGCTGGGTGGTATTCTCCCTGAAGAATCAGCTTGAGAGAATTTTCTTGGTAACACAAGGGATATCACGTATGGAAGGGTGTTGCTGTACATAGTATGACTGTTATAATCATTCCAGCTGCTATGTGCTATGCAGAAGATGGTACGGATCGCGGTTTCTAAATTGTAGACAGCTGATGACTCATCATCCTGATGAGGCATTAGAGGCACGTGACCATGTATGTAACTACATTCCTACGGACACCCACCAAACCACTATGATCCCTCCATTAGACGACCGAGGAAGATGAGCATCACTTTGCAGCAGCCTTCATCTTCGCAACCATCCCCGCGGTTCCTTCAGCGACCAACTTCTCATCCCAGATGAAGTTGACGCTCTTCTCAGCCACAGTAGCATTAGCCCATTTCCAGAACGCCGGTGCCTTTGCCTCGAGACCATCCAACATGCTGCTTGGTAACAGATTGAGCTCTTTGTACTCAGGCTTAGCCAGGCCGAGGATTCGGAGGAGGAACGAGCCGGTAAGGACCTAGGTATATCAGCTTGCAGTCTTTCAACTTTCAACTTTACTTTTCACGACCAGACGCCTTCGACGAAGTTACAAAAAGGTGGGCCAATATACCTCAACCAAGGTCAACTGCTTCGAGCCTCCAAAGAATGGCGCCGCATCCTGCAGATACGGCTCTAGCTCCTTAACAACATTCTGCACATACGCATCTCCCAACTTCTCCTTCTCCGCGCCCTCCGCCTTCAAGAGCGCGTAGAAAGCTCCATTGACCTTGCTAAAGAAGGCGTCCACGAAGAAATCAATCCTCGCTCGTTGAAGGGCGCCGCCTGGCTCGCTGCTGGTCTTGACCAAATGGGACGGGTGAGCGTCGGCGAGGAACTTCGAGACGATGGCTGATTCGGTGATGATTTCGCCGTTGTAGCTAATGGAGGGCACCAGCCCGCGGGGGTTGATCTTGAGGTATTCGGCAGTGCGCGGGGTGCTGAGGTCGATGATTTCTTCGGTGTACTCGAGACCCAGCTCGGCAAGGGCGATGTGGGCGCGGTGAGCCCAGGGACAGCGGTGGTTGGTGTAGAGGATGACTTTCGGAGCGGACGTGGAAGCCATCTTGGATAGTTGTTCTGAGACTTGAAGGGCGGTGATTGTAAAATTGCGGTTTGTAGTGGATTGTCGTTGTTATTGATGTCGTCGTAGGAAGCGGGATGTCAACTAGTCGTTTAAGTCGTATATATATGTATACGGACAGTAGGAGGGGAGGCAAGGCAAGGCACGTGAACAATCGACATGTAAGTAATTGCGGGGTGCAGAAGTGAAAGCTGAATGATTCGAGAGGCGAATGCCTTATTTATCTCGGGTCTGAACTCATTTACCCGAGCTTTTGTCAAGAAAGCAGGTCTCCATCGACCCGACACGATCACAACGATAATGCACTTTGAGGATAGGGTTTCGAGCTCTACAGCTTGGCCTGTAAGCTTATTGGAACTCAACTCCGACCCGGGGATTTTGGTCGAATGAAAAAAAGGTCATGTTCCAATTCGAAACATAATATTGACTTGGATTCCTGAGCTCGCTCGCTTAGGAGCACAAGTAGGTCTGATTACGATAAATTGATGCGGAAGAGTAGGATGTCTGAAGATAGGGAGTCCAAGCTGATCATAGGGAGAGTAAAGTGAAAGCCCAGACAACGGTTCCTTGAGTGGGATGTCCAAGAGGGGAATTTCGAGAGCACATAGCATCCAGAAGTTAAAAATGGTCACGTTTCTGCAAGCGGCCAAGGCTGACCCCGCCAAAATTAATTGCTATACTCCAAATCTCCAGGCCTTCACAACACTACCACAGTAAAACTGTCAGCGCAGTAATGAAGATTGAAGAACTCCCCGAGTCCTTCGACTCCTCCGTCAATATATCTCATCTCAATCCAACAGAAGCAGCCCCCGAGCCCGATCTCCTCACAGCAGCCCTCAACGCGTACGGCTCAACCCCCACCACCAGCGATGGCACCACTCCAGCTCTCCCCCCCGCCCTCGCAGAAATCCGCGATAAATCCGGACCGGAGATGCTGGCCGACCTGAATAAACTCCCTCTGTTCATGACCGATCTTGAAGAGAACGACGGGCTGGAAGCCTTGAAAGCATTGGCATACGAGGGAACACCGTTGGAAGTCGCAGCGGGCTTTAAAGAGCGCGGCAATGAGAGTTTTAAGGAGAAGGGTTGGAAGGATGCAAAGGAGTTCTATGGGAAGGGTATTGATGTTCTGCTCATTGAGGTGCGGAAAAGACAGGCCAAGTCGAAGATAAACGAGAAGTCGAATGGGAAAGGCAACGGAGTTGAGCAGGAGGAGGCGGCGGCGGTGGTGGTAGATAAAGAGGAGGTCAAGAGGGAGATTGCGGTTCTGGAAGCTTGTCTGGTGAACAGAGCTGCGTGCCATCTGGAGTTGAAGAATTACAGGAGCTGTACGCTGGATTGTGGGAGCGTGCTGAGGATCAACCCGAAGAACGTCAAGGCGCTTTATCGGTCTTCGAAGGCGCTGCTGGCGTTGGACAGGATAGAGGAGGCAGATGATGCGTGCGCGCGCGGTCTTGCCCTAGATCCGAACAACAAAGCTTTGCAAGCCGTTGCTCAAGACCTCATCAAGCGCCACGCTGTTGTAGCCGCGCGAAAGAAAAAGGAGCTTGAGCGGGCACAGCGACAACGATTGGAAGCTGTGACTCTAGCTGCTGCTCTCAAAGCCCGAGAGATCAAGACGAGAAAGACCGCGCAACCACCGGAGATGGAAGATGCGAAGATACAGCTCGTGCCTGATCCCACCGATCCTACATCTACACTCACATTTCCAACTGTGTTGCTGTACCCATTGCATTTGGAGTCTGACTTCATCAAAGCATTCAATGAGATGGAGCCATTAGGCCATCACCTGAGCTATATCCTGCCATTGCCATGGGACAAGGCTGGGGAGTACACACCATTGAAGGTGGAGTGCTACATGGAGACCGTCACGGGAGGACTTATCAAAGTTGGTCGCAAGGTCCCGCTGCTCAAGGTACTCAGCGAAGGAAATGTGGAAATCGTAGACGAGGTGGTCAAGATCTTCGTAGTGCCGAAGGCTAGGGCGGAGGCGTGGGTGAAGGAATTCAAGATGAAGAAGGCCGCGGAGGAAGCTAGAGCAAAGGGCAAATGAGTCACTTCCGTTTCATCAGATCAGCATCATCGAAATCAACAACAACGACGACGACATGCGATTTGCCATGAGATGGGGAATAAATATCGACTGAAGGGAGGGATGGGACTGGAATTAAGATTCGTTGTCGCTGTTGCCATCATATTCTCGTCATGAAGCGAACATAGGGTATGAAATAAAGGAACGGGCACCTGAACAGGAAGTAATTTGAGGAGCCGAGGGGAGCCGAGGGACATTTGCTCCGCTAGTATGCTTGCATACTGTTTCCTCCCGGCCTGCCTGAGATTACCGAGAGCTACACCCGGCACGGTAGCCAGCAGCAGTTCATGGCTATTGCGAGCATGCTTAGGTTGTACGGGCGGCTCAGCCTGGCCGAATAAGGCTGCTCGTCCGACGACAGTCAGAGCCGCCATTGCAGCTCGCGGAAAGGGGGAAGACTGTTTGCGGGTGGGCATTAAGCGAATGGCGGGGAGGAGACTCAGAGGGAAAGAAAAGAAAAGAATGGAAAGGGGAGAGGAAAGGGGAGAGGAAAGGAGAGAGGAAAGGAGAGAGGAAGTCTCGATTCCGTTACTGGCTCGGCGCGCCTGCCGTGCGACCGGATCTATCTCTAATTTTAATTCCATGCACCTTGCTCTTTTCCTATTCCCTAGACGAAGGTACATGGACGATAGTCCGTTCCTCCTTCTTTTTAGTCTCTGTTCTCTGTATATAAATGTCTGTCCTTCTTATATACATATATACATGCATCTCATCTCTCCTCTTTTCCCCTAGACGTACGAAGCCGAAGTAGAGAAAGGGGCTTAATATTAGATAGATACGCCTGCCCGCCCGCCTGCCTGCCCGCCTGCCTGTCTCTCTTCTTCTCAACGCACATCACTCTTCTCCGAAGTAAAGTCCAAGACGGAGAGCACTTGTTACGTATATATAGCTGTGACTTTATCCCACTTCCATCAAGCCTATTCACATCTACATCTATATCTACGCCATACAACATCACCTTTGCAGCAAGCGAGGCTTTTCTCTTCGCTCTGCTTTTTTTTTTTTTTTCGCACAATGAATCCTTGCCTTACTCCTTTCTATCATCTCCTTCTACCATCCATCTTATTCCAACCTCTCAAGTTCAATAGTTTTAATCTGAAGATCTAAAGATATCAAATACGTCTCTCTTTTTCTTCCTTTAAGTTATATGTATATCTATCTACAAACCAGTCTTTCGAGCCCCTTATATATATATATATATATATATATTTATTTATGTAAGATTCAAAGCCGAACTAAGATAAGAATCAAGCCACTGGCTTATCAGGTTACTGGGCTACTGGGCTACTAGGCTACTAGGCCATTAGCCCCCACCACGTCATCAGATCATTGGATTACCAAGCAGAAGGACCAAGTTCTCTATACGTAGTACCACCAACGGGCTAACCACCCGACCCGTCATTACAGTAAGTATCACCAGCGGTGACGTAACCCAAGATAAGTTCCAGGGGCTGGCTGTAATAGTGAATGAATCATCCCGTCACGTGTGACTGACTCTTCTACCTAAGGTACGTATACAGGCTCCCAAGTACAGGATTTGCCAAGAGATAATCCCAATATCAGTTACAGTACTGTACCTACCGGTAGTATCTTACAAAGTACCGGTATCCGCCGCGGATTTTTAAGGTTCCGCACTGCGGGACGGGCCGTCCCTTGCTGGACGTGTCCTGATCGACACTTCTGTGCGGTAGGCATGTATATATATCATATCTCCTTTCCTACTTTTACTCATCTTATAATTTTATTTCAAATCTATCGACCTATGTTACATGCGAGATTCAAATTTTTTCTATCATGTACTAGAAAAGCCGACCACCAAATCTCTGCTCTCATTTTTTTTTTTTTTAGCCGCATGATCATACATCGATCGAGTACCTAGGTAGGTACCGTACTCAGCCCCGGCCCGCTGGTATTGATAATACCGTACCTACCGTATAAAACTTGCTCCTTATGCCAGATATCAGAAAATCACTCACTCACTCACTCAATCAATCAATAAACAAAGCATCCCAATCCCAATCCCAATCCGCACCCGCTCCCGATCCGCAAGCGCTCACGCCGGCTCAAGTCTGATCCCTGAAAGGGATAGATAGGTATAAGAAGGACCCACGCAAGCGAGCCAACGACGGCAATCTACCCACTCTACGCAGATATATACGACAGGAAGCAAACAATCGCGTAGGTCTTCGGCGCGCCGAGCTCATAGGAACGCTTATCCTTCCTCTTTACTCTTCCAGTTGGGTTTCAACCTTTTTTTTTTTCTTTTCTTTCTTTCTCTCCTCCTTTCTTTCCTCCTTTCTTTCCTCCTTCCTTTCCTTCCTCGGCTAGGATCGCACAATAAGGTAGAAATAACCCGATATAGGACTAAGGTCCTGGAGAGCTTACCAACCGGTACCCATTCATCTCAGACGTAATAGCAGCCCGTGAGTACAGAATAGGTATTTTCGCGTGAGTAGGTTACTTATCACCATCATAACCCTAGAAAAGTAGCTTGGGGTTACCGCGGGTGGTAATCAGCTCAGCTCAGCCCAGCTCGCTAGCCTACTAGCTCACTAGCTTCTATCTTGGTAAAAGTCGTATGCGCTCGTGTGAACGTGACTTGCGTGTGGTTTTAATAACTCTAAGTATAATATCGATAGTAACCAAGACTTTTGGTGTCGATATTGCGGTAATGTCTTTTTTTGTCGTACTTTGCTTGTTTGCTTGCTTGCTTGCTTGCTTACGTGCTTGCTGTGACTGAGATGGCTGTTATGACTAAGATAGCTGAGATCAAACACCAAATGCCAAACACCAAATGCTAACTATCGCGTTCTGAATATCCGATATCAAGATATCGAATTGCTAGGTCCTTCCTTAGCTCAGGCTCAGATCCAACCTCAAGCTCAGATCCAACCTCAAACTCAGACACCAAGACAATAAGATTACCATCTCTAGTCAATACGACATGCTAATCACCAGGGCCTGTGATATAACGCTTAGCGAAGAAAGAAAGAAGGTGGGGGGAAAGGCCGACTGACTGACTCCTGAGATCCACGATTCTTCATTGGTTTTTGGTTCAAGCAACTCAAGCAAGAAGTTTCCAAAGAGTCAGACAGACAGACAGATACATAGACAGAAAGACAGGTAGTGTCTATTCTATTCTGTTCGATCAATCATAACTAGATCGAGACTGCTTACTACTAGCTACTTCATACTTATACAGTGTCATTGTATGGACAGACATGTCATGCCGTGTAATTGTTCATCTCTCATCTCTCATCTCTCATTCCTCATTCCTCATTCCTCATCCTTCGTTGGTATTTCCATCCCATGTAAAATTAACAACTCCCTGGCCGGCCCTCTGATCGCCCAATATCAAATCCGTCCCCTTCCCCTTCCTGTGCCTGTGCAAAATCGAGATCCAAAAAAAAATTCCAAAAAATTCCAAAAAATTCCAAAAACGTCCAAAGACCAGGAAACACCACCGTGCGAATGCAATGCAGCAGCAGCAGCAGCACACCATATGCCCGTCATCATAAACACAAATCCACACTCCATCCCCCTCTCCACCTTTCCGCCTTGAACCCATACCCCTACCCCTGTCTCCACCCCTTCCAGCGATACGATAAGCGAGACCAACTAAACAAACGATCCTCAGTTCCGTTCAGCAAAGGGGCGGCCCCCAGAAAAGGGGCCACGCACACCCCCTCACATACTCGTCGCCCTCCGCCGCTTGATCCTGGGTCCCTCTTCTTCCTCCCCGGCCGCAGCCCGCTCCCGAGCTGTCGCGCCGCACTCCCCGTCCCTGACGCTGAGCTTCATGAGCAGCCATGCGGCCTTCCTCTCCGCGCCGCCGACCTCCTCCCTCATCACGTCCCTCTCTCCATCTCGCGCCCGGTCCCGGTCCCAGTCCTGGCACCCGACACCGCCCGGGCTGAAGCTGGTGCTGTGGTCGTCCATGACGGACATGCCCCCGCTGGCCTTGTCGTCGGCGACGGAGGAGTCCTCGCCGTCGTACTCGTCATCCGCGTCGACGTCCTCCGCGCGTCGCTTGCTGGAACGGGCATGCGGATACGGATGCGCATAGGGATAGGCCTGGGGGTGGCTGGGGCGGGTTGTCACGGGCCAGCTCATGTTCATGTCCGCCAGCCCGGCTGATCGCGGGATGGCGCTGAGCAGCGGGTTCGCCGTGACCGCGGAAGTGGGCTGCATGCTGACGTTCAGCGCGGCATTGGCGCCGTGACTCGCCACATTCTGCCGCTCGTGGCGGCTGCGGGCGAGGAAGGAGGACGGGGAGTACGGCTGGGCGGGCGAGCTGGAGGAGGCGGGGGAGAGGAAGTAGCCGGGCCCGTCGTTGCTCGCGCTGCTCTCGCTGGGCGTGTCAAATTCGGCGTCGGTGCTGGTGAGGAGGCCGTAGGGTGATTCCCCGCCAAAGGCGCGTTTCAAGCGGAGGCTCCGACCCATGGCGCCCTGCGGGGGCGTGCCGCGCATCGAGTGGTCGGACCCGTGGCCGGGGCTGTACGAGCCCCGGGACGATGGAGCCTTCGGGTGGCGGTTGTGGTAGTGTGCCGTCGAGGCGGCGGGGGCCGAGTAGGCGAGGCGGAACGCTTCGGCCTCGGCGGTTGCGGCCATCACGATGGCGGCGTCGATGGTCATGCGGTTGTGCTCGGGGGCCTCGGGAGGGACGCAGAGACTGGGGAAGGAGGGCCCGAAGATGGGGATCAGCGCTGGGGCGATATGTGCGCAGAAGGTGGTGCAGACGGCCAGGGCGCAGGCGTAGGGCATCCAGTAGCCTGGGGGTTCGGTGGTCAGCCATCCGTCCCGGACGTGATGAGATAGATAGATCATGAGCCAGATGCCTGCTCGGGGTCGGGACTGGGTTCTTTTTACCTTGGGCTGCGAGGGCCCCGCCGGTGATGCTATGGGTGATCTCTTTGAGCCCGGGATTCATATTCAGCATTTTGGCGGGCGTGGTCTATGCAGATGTTAGTCCCGCCCGACTCCCGCAGCGCAGGAGATGCTGGGAAGAGGGCTGGGCTGGGCTGGCCTGGGCTGGGCTGGGCTCACCTTGGAGAAGTCGAAGCATTTGAAGAAAGGTGTGATGCGGACGAGGCCGATGTTGTAGTCCCACATCACCACGAACTCCTTGTCCGGTTTGTTCGGGAGCTTGAACACGTACTGGAAGACTGCGATGCCCTCACGTCAGCAAAGATGCTCTCGCTCAGGGTGGTTCGGCGCCTCGGTGAGTCTGCTTGTGCATGTATGTACACCCACCAGACCGTGCGTACCTTCGAAACTCTCCCGGCCGGTCTTCTCCAGGAAGCTCTTCTTCTCGCTGTTATAGGGAATGTGGCGTGCGTATTCCTGGATATCGCCCAGCGGGTAGACATGGAACCTCTGAACCTCGCGGAGCACGTCCTCGTCCAGCCGCTCAAACGGGGCGAAGCGGACGTCGCCCTTGATCTTCCCCTTGGCGAACACGGCGCCGTCCTTGGTCATCTTGGTGAGTTTCTTGGTGGTGGAGGTGGTGGAGGTGGTCGAGGACTGGGTGAGGGTGAGGGCGTGGGCGTGGGCGTGGGTCGAGGTGGGCAGCAGCGGAGTGCCGTCGTGGTGGGTTGAGGAGGCGGTGCGCAGCGAGGACGGAGGACTGGAGGGGAGTCGTGTGCTGGGTCTGCCCCGCGTCGGGGTCGGGGTCGGGGTTGGGGTTGGGATTGGGATTGGGGGATCTGCGTTGCTGTTGCTGTTGACGGGGACGGGGACTGGGACGGGGACTGGGAGCGGGTTGAGAAGGGATGCGACGGAAAGCATGGCGGTGAGATGTTTTGGAGGAGGAGGAGGAGGAGGAGGAGGGGGAGGAGGGGGAGGAGGAGGGGGAGGGGTGTTGGAGGGAGTTGGTGGGGGAGGTAACATTTGGGGGGAAGTAGAGGGGGAGGTGGAGGTGGAGGGGGAAGTGGAAGTAGAGGTGGAAGTAGAGGTGGAAGTAGAGGGGGGAGTTGGCGTGACAGTTCCAGTGAAAGTTCCCGTGTCGCTTGATCCGGGGGTCCTGAGGCTCTTGGGTCCTTGGTCCTTGGCCTTGGTCAATCTTCAATCTTCGCTAGGATAGGAAAGACCAGAACAGGAGCAGAGAGGATCCGACGACAAGATCGCGAGGAAGGAGCGAGGCGAGGCGAGGCAATGCGGAGCGGGGCGGGGCGGGGCGACTTCGATTCCGTCTCTTCTTCTTCTTCTGCTTCTGCTTCTGCTTCTTCTGTTTCTGGTCTCGGTACCGCAGCTCAGAGGACCAAGTCGACGTTTTGGGGGAGCACGCAAACGGAGCTCTCCAGAACTTGGAATCGTTCTGCTGGCCGGGCGGTCTTTATGTGGAATGGGCGAGAGCATGAGCATGGGCAGGGCATGGGCAGGGCATGGGCATGGGCATGGGCAAGGGCAAGGGCAGAGAAGCAGAGGCAGAGAGTGAGCCTGGAGCTTGCTTCACTGCAAATTCTTCGAAGGCGTGGCCGTGGGCGTGGGCGTGGGCTCAGGCTGCGGTTCAGGCTCAGGCTCGGGCTCCGGCTCCGGCTCTCCGCGGCCGTCCAGTCCAGGGCTGGTCACTGATGTCTGGAGCGTGCGCATGGTCAGCGTGTTCGGGCTGGAAGTCTCTTTGTTGGCATGTCTAGGAACCGACCTGGGGTAGCTTGTTCGGCCGTTTGCTCGTTTGTATGTCTCCCCGCTGCTCATTGGCGGAAGGGGTCGAGGGCGAGGAGAGACAGCGACAAGAGACACAGCAACAAGAGACAGCAACAAGAGACAGCGACAGGATGGGAGGAGATGAGAAGAGATGAGAGAAAGCGTAGGGGGGGGGGGGGGGGGGGGAAGAGGAGGAGGAGGAGGAGGAGAGA